GAACAACCAGCAGAAAGCGGGCGCCCGTCGTGGACAAGTTTCTCTGATAAAGAAGACCATTTCGGACGCAGAATCGGCCTTCGCTTAATGAATTTCTCGCTCCAGGGAAGAGAGCTTTCAAGCTTGGGTCATTACGCTGCTCAGCGGCGAAAGTCACGGCATCGGGAAAGCCAGACGACAGCGAAGCAATAAGGTGGTCAAAGTTATCGCCTTCACAATCTGTCGATGGTAGCGGCATTCTGGAGAGGCAATCCGCATCAGCGTGTAGACGGCCAGTCTTGTACGAGATGGTGAAAACATGTTCTTGCAAACGAATGGCCCATCGTGCGAGGCGGCCGGATGGGTCACGAAGGTTGATCAGCCAACACAGGGAATGGTGATCTGTGACGATAGTGAACGGGCGACCATAGATGTACGAGCGAAACCGTTGCACGGCAAAGACTACCGCTAGGCATTCCTGTTCGGTCACTGTGTAGTTGCGTTCAGGCTTGCTTAAAGAACGACTTGCGTACGCCACAACGTGTTCCTTCTTGCCAGAACGCTGAACGAGAACGGCACCGATACCGATGCCACTTGCATCTGTGTGAATTTCCGTGGGCGACGAAGGATTGAAGTGCCGAAGTATTGGTTGCGAAGTTAACAAACACTTCAGCTTGTGAAAAGCGGCATCACACTCGGAGGTTCACTGAAACAGGCTGTTCTTGCGTAGAAGGCTCGTCAGGGGGTGAACCACATCTGCAAACTTGCGTACGAACCGGCGGAAATACGAGCAGAGCCCGATGAAGCTACGCAGTTGTTTCACAGATTTAGGACACTCGAACGATTCAACGGCCGCGGTCTTTTGTGGGTCAGGTCTAATGCCATCTTTATCGACGAGATGTCCTAACACCAATGTCTGTCGCTCGCCAAAGTGGCACTTTTTTGAATTCAATACAAGGCCAGCTTTTTCAATGCAGCCGAGCACGAGGTCTAGGCGAGTGTTGTGCTCCTCAAACGTACGGCCAAAAATTACGACATCATCAAGGTAACACATACATATATGCCATTTTAAACCACGCAATATAGAGTCCATAAATCTTTCGAATGTCGCAGGAGCATTACATAATCCGAATGGCATAACGTTGAACTCGTAAAGTCCGTCGGTCGTAACAAATGCCGTCTTCTTTGTCAGCTGCGTGCATCGGAATTTGCCAGTAACCTGATCTCAGGTCAACAGATGAAAAGTAGGACGCGGAATGCAGGCAGTCTAGAGCGTCATCGATGCGCGGCAGTGGATAGACGTCTTTCTTGGTAACAGAATTCAGTCGGCGGTAGTCAACGCAAAATCTCCACGTACCATCCTTCTTCCTCACTAGAATGACGGGAGCAGCCCACGGACTCACCGATTCCTGTATTATTCCCTTTTCCAGCATCTCTTGAACTTGCTCGTTGATGATCTTGCGCTCCGATGGTGCCACTCGGTAAGGTTTCTGCCTAATGGGATGCGCCGATTCGATGTGGATCTGATGACGTATCCGGGACGCTGGGATTAAGGGCCTTTGGCTGTATTTAGAAAAATCGAACACTTTCGAGTGCTTAGACAGAACGTCGAGCAGGGTATGACGTTTGCTTTGGTCAAGTGACTTGCTGACCATTTGTAGCAATTGGGCATCTCTGAACCTTCTAAGCCTAGATGTTCATTTTGGCTTGTAGCATCAACAAGCGCAACCAGCGTCGTACATGACTCGGGTCTAAATACTGCAAGTTTCATGCCGCCTGGCAGAATTGCAGGCTCCATGGAAGTGTTCATTGTCCACACACCTGCCCGTCCATCAACGACTGACACTATACAATGGGAAATGAGAATGTTCTTTTTCAGGCATGCCGAGGAAATCGGTTCGAGCGTGGTGTCAAACGTGCCACAGTTGTTACTGGAACATGTCACAGGAACACACACAGCAGAAAATGCAGGAACGACTGTATCCACGGAGACAAAAAAGATGCATTCCTCCGGACAAGAATTTTCCAAGAGCGCCGTTGGGAAAGTACCGTGTATAGAAAGATGCCCACTTCTGCAGTCTACAGTTGCCCCACACTCACACAAGAAGTCAATACCCAAGATAACGTCATGTGTAGACCGCGGAATAACCGCGAACTCTGTGCAAAACACCTTGCCACACAGCGACACGTCCACAGTACAATATCCCACCGGACACAACACGTCACCACTTACACCACGAAATGTCACCCCACGGTTCAGGCAAAACATCACTTTGGTCCTAGCAGGTTCTTAAAATTTACACTCATCACCGAAACTGTCGTGCCTGTATCCACAACTGCCATAGTAGCCACTCCATCGACAACTACACGAACTTTGTTTTTCAACATAAACGCTGACGGGGGTATATCTGTAGATAGCATCTGTGATCTTGCGGCTTCACCCCCACTGGCCGCACCGACTAGTTTTCCGGCGGCGGTGTACGTGCGCGTCGCCGTGGCGACGGCGATCGTGGAGCACGGGGAGCTGGAGGTGGCGTCAAACTTGGATCAGAGGCCGGCGAGGGGCAACGTGACCCGGTAGGTGCGCGTGGTTTCCGTGACGTGGAGTGCGGATAGTCGAAATGTTGGCGATACAAAGGCCAAGACTGTCGTTGATATGGGCGGTGGTCACAAAAACGTGCGATATGACCCGGGACACCACAGTTGTAGCATACCGGACTTGGTCGAGAGGCACGTTGTTGCTCAGAGTAACGACTCCTCTCGGAAGGCATGGGATAGTGGTACCGTCCTTCGGGGGCCCTGTAGGGAGGCGATGTTGGGTAAACAGGTGGGCGAAAACTTCGTAGTTGGGAGGTGGTTGACGGGGGAATCCAGCCTGCCGTGTGCCTTGATATTCATAAGAGTCTGTTGCGTTTATCGATGGTTGCCATGGTGGAAGAGAAGCAAGAGTTCGCACACATTCTGGTTCGCTCACGTACCCATCCTGAAAATCGCTGGCGCGATGATAGCTCTGCTGACATCGAAGCAGCTCTTCTCCAACGATCTGCCGTATGGTCAAAGCAAGGTCGTTAGGCGGCACTGTTTCAACACTAGCCACAGTGGGGACGTTGGACAGGCGGCCGAATTTCGGAGAAATTCGTCGCATCTTGAGGGATTCAAAGGTACGACAGTGCTTCATCACGTCGGACACGGAGTTCAAGCAGTCTTTCCCAATTAAGAAATTGTACACGTCTTCGGCTATACCCTTGAGAACGTGTCCAACCTTGTCTTCTTCAGACATCCTCCCATTGACGATCTTGCACAGCTTCAATATTTCTTCAATGTATGTCGTACATGTTTCTGCTGGAAGCTGTGCCCTCTGAGACAATGTCTGCTCCGCGCGTTTCTTCTTTGCGTCTGAATCGCTGAAGCACTTCTGCACTTCTTCAACAAAACGTTCCCAAGTCGTTAACATGTCCTCGTGGTTCTCGTACCACATAAGGGCGGTGTCAGTTAACGAGAATACGACATGATTGAGCTGTTCGTTCGAGTCCCAGCCATTGCTTCTGCTCACCCGCTTGTAGTTTTTGAGCCACACGTCGACGTCTTCTCCTGAGGTCCCGCTGAAGTTTGGTGGCACTCTGTAGTACGGCACGGAACCCATCGGAGTTGGCCTCGAAGCGTTGGATGGCTGCTCTTGGGCCATTACGATCGGTGAAGGTGGAAGTCCGGCGAGGCGGCGGCTGCGACGAAGTCCTGGTAGTGAAGCTCCCGTCTTTGGGTTCGTCCTACCCAGCACCTCCACCAAATTGTAACACAAGACGACGTAAATTAATGTTACACAAGGCGAGGTAAATTAATGGGGGTTTTTAATGGGCCCTGAGTCCGCGATCACAGTCTAATGATGATGATCACCGCCATGGCTCGTACCCACTCAGGGGGATCGCAGTGGAGGCAACGTCGTCTTCCTTCTATGCCCACGCTTCCCTTGTTTTTCTGGTAGTGATACTTTGTATCAATATGTTGTGAACGAATTGCCGTTTCTTTAAAAATGTAACTTTTGAGGCTTAAGTATCTGGCTAAAATCATGACGCCCTGGGGTTGCGATTTATTTGCAGAGCTAAAGTACCTAACCACATAAAAAAAAAGGAGCAGCTAGTGCAATGTGTTAGTCATCAAAAGGTGGAATAACACAATACTGTTGATGCCACTGCGAAGTGGACTCTGATAGAGCTCCATCAACTTATGATTGATTGATATGTGGGGTTTAACGTCCCAATACTATCATATGATTATGAGAGACGCTGTAGTGGAGGGCTCTGGAAATTTCGACCACCTGGGGTTCTTTAACGTGCACCCAAATCTGAGCACACGGGCCTACAACAGTTCCCCCTCCATCGGAAATGCAGCCGCCGCAGCTGGGATTTGATCCCGCGACCTGAGGGTCAGCAGCCGAGTACCTTAGCCACTAGGCCACCACGGCGGGGCCCATAAACTTGTGGTCCGCAGATATTGGGTTTATGAAAATGTACTTTTATATGTTAATGGAATCGGCTTTTTTTTTGTGCTGCCCCACTTTAATGTTTCAACAACACATTTCGTGTGAAGAATACAGCAGCAAATGTTTGCCTTGTACGAAAATCTAGTCAAATAACTTTGTTTACATAATGGACGAGGTTTCAGCTACACCGTCTCCATAATATGTATAGAGCTTTAACTGTAAGTCATGCTGTTCATGTCGCTTGCAGCGATAAAGGGGTGACAGGAAACCAAAGTGCATCTGGGAACATCAATGTTCTTTTCAAGAAGTTCAGTTTTCCAACAGCATGCAGTGACAAAACTCTTAATAAGAGAACACTTCTAGATAAACAACATTGAAGTGTTGATAAGGCATAACTGACAACTAAATGAGCTTCTGCAAATGGCTTCTTTACAGCAATTTTCTCGCTTTCACCAGCTTCCTAACTTGTTCAACAATCCATTTATTATTGTCCATTGAAGGCACCGAACACTGGAGAAGTATTAACGGAATTCCGACTCACCTCACTGTAGTGGCAGTTGAGGGCTTTGGGTCGAGTGGTACTTCACCGTCAGGCAAAGACGTGCTTGCCACTGACACTGATGAGGTGGCAGACATGTTCGTAATGGGCACTGGATCAGAGGAAAGGAAATCAGTCAACTTTTAACAAAGGCTAAAATTAAGAAACAAGCTCTAAGCTCTAAAAAAGTTAAAAGTAAAACATTGTCTCAATGGTGTACAAACCCAAGCACAAAAGAGTAAATATTGAAGGGAGGGTAGAGATGTGCGAGAGAGTTCGCTACGTGTACTGTCCATTTCAGCGTGCACTCATTGACAGCAAACGTGTTCCAGTAGTATCACCGACAACCAAGTAGTACTTTCTAATCAGCATGGGGCGAGAAAAACCATTCCCGTAATTGTACTTGCAGAATACCATGCACGGTTAGTCTTTGCCCCAAATCCACCAGTCTTTTCGAACGCTTCACCATTGTAGCAGTTTTGCTGCATCCGACATATGTTCCTCTGTGAATTGCCAGTAGTGCAGAGACCAACCGTGGCTGAATAGTAAAGGGATCGAGGACAAATTTTTCTCAACTTGGCTTTTTACGGCACAACAGAAAGAACACCCTCTGAAGTGTTTGTAGCTACAGTAGTTAATCTCGAAAGCACGTAGTCATTTAATGAGCAGCACATTTCAATCTGAAATGCTTTAAACATGAACTTATCTTTCCACTAGCAATGCCGAAAATTGATAGCAATGTTGCCGGCCCTTCTCGAGATTTGCGCAAGCTGTCATTCTGCTTTGACAGGAGTTCCTGTAACTATGCTTAACCACCTTTATTTTGAGCTTTCAGACTATTTTTGAAAATAAGCCATTATAAAGAGATGATGTGGCTTTGTACACCTTCCTCGAACTTGTAGCGTGTTGCGCATGCCTGCAGGTTGCCTGCGGCTGTGTGACGGGCGACTTGTCCTGGCATCGTTCTTCGATACACGAGACAAGAAACCACGAGACAAGACACGAAGTGACCGGAAACATCACTGCACATGCGCACGGCCGTGTCGAGGAGCAGCACTCATTGCAGAGGCAAAGTGCAGGTAGCAAAACTATGTCGCTCTAAAATCTTGGCAAGCTGAAAAATTCATGCACGGTTGCAGAAGCACGCAGGCGTTGCTTAAAACGTGCTGATGAGCAAGAGATCACTATGCCACGTGAAGGCAGTGCCACTTCAATGCGCACCAATAACTAACACATATATGTACATTTTTATGGAGTAATATATTTAAATACAAAGAAACCAACATAACAGAAAAATGATCGGACACATACAGCAATCAACGATCACGTGGCCGTGTTTTTGACGCCAGAAATGAATAAATAAAAAATACGAGCCCAGCTCTCATGAAAAAAAAAAATAGTCAGGTTTGCGTCAATGCAAAAGACAATAGTATTTCCTTTAGTGGAGACATCTAATTTTATCCCCTTTAAAGACCAGACTGGCCACCCTTGGTTAAGAATCATCACCCATGCTGGCATATGGCTATGTTCCCAGAGACACCATAGTTTTACAGTCACTTCACACTGCTGTCACAAGGCTGCATTTCTGGCTGTTGTCCAAAACATTAAATAATGGCCAAGCCACTGCATATAGGCAAAGCTGCACAAGAACTATTCGTTAGAGCAGCCATGAAACAGTGGCCACCTGGCGTGGGACCCAAGACGCTTCTTATATAGGCAGCTGTTTCCACTCCAGACTTATTTTTGGCACGTCAATGAAATATGAGCAAAACAAGTTATGGCAAACAAAAACCCATATCTGTTGCAAAAGCTTCCATACAGCAAAACCAAGCGAGAAGGACTACCCGCTCAAATTTTCACGACTTTGTGTACCACCCTTTTCAAACTGCCAACTTCTTTGAAACGAAACCCCTGTACAACAGAATTTCAATTTTTTGAAAACTCTTCGTTCAAACTGACACAGAGTGCAAGAACAGGACAGCTGGCTCCAGCAATGTACTACTTATTTGCACCAATTCAAGTTAAGAACCTTCAAATGGTCATACCTAAAAAGATTTCTTACTTGTATGTACTGACTTTCAAAAAACTGTTGCAGTTTTTTTTAATTCGGAAGAAAATAGTAACTGCGTTGCTGCTCAGTGATGCAGCCTCAATAATTTCAAGAGAAAGTGAAAAGAAAAAAGCTTTGAAAACTACACATTGACGATGCCAGAAGCAACATTGGTTCTATAAAACACTCGGAAAGCAAAAAAAAAGGGGGAAAAAAAAAAAAAAAACGGGAGACAACGCAGCCTGAGATAACGATGACTTAGATTTTGATTGAGTCTGCTAGTCTTTGCACAACTCTATATAGGCAAACAAATTGCATTTTGTACCGAGGAAATCGGAGCTCGCAAAGCAAGTTGCAAAAAACCCCGAGGACAATGTGGCCGAGATAAATTACTATGAAATTCTATGTCACACTCATGAGATCCGAGTTCTCAAGTTCAGGCACGAAATTGAACAGCAGGACAGTAGCCACTTTTTCCCTCCGATAATTAATTCATGATGGTGAAATTAGCCATTGCATTCCAAAAAGAACAATCACTCAAAACTCATTTACTCTTTTGCTTTAGGCCCTTTGTGTGTAGAAAGGCTCCATATCAAGTGGCCAGTTATTTCTGCTTGCTCAACCTAAACACCTGCAGCAAATTACCAGCAGGATAGAACACACAGTCCTGACCCTCCACCACCCCAATGCCTGCAGGCACAAGGACAGCATTATATCTACTTTTCTGGTTTGAATTTGGTTTTACTTTAACAAATTTTCAGTCCCCCAGTTCAATTGAAAATGTTCCACTGGAATATGAACGATCTTACTCCGATTCTCATTCAACTGTGATTAAACAATCAAATTACCTGCGCAGTGCAGCGACATGAGAGCCGGAACCAACCCGCCATTTCATTTGGCAAAACGTGCATATGACAAGAATATCTACATTTATGCGAAAGGGAATCATGCACGGGGATCCATGACTTACCAGCAGTATCCCACACCTCCCTGAAGGGCCGCTTGAGAATTTCCTGTGCAAATCGAGAATGTTGGCACCGATTTATGCTGTCTCAAACAATTCTATCTCAGCGTGAAACTCGAAACTCGCAATGTGCGTGTGCACACACACACACACGCACTAAAGAAAAAAACACATGCAGGAACACATATGTGGCTTTGAAGCCCTTCTCTGCTGTTATCCAGATCCTGCCCAGAGCAGAAAACCTGCACATTTAGACACTTTTCACACTCCTCGACCAGCCGCTTGGGGAAGACAGAATGTTGAAACTACAGCTCACCTCCGGCACTGTGCGAATAATCCTGTCGTACCACAAGTCGACGTTGCGACAGATCCTGTCGGTCTTCTCCTGCATGGCTAAACGCGAACTCTCCAGAGTGCATTCAAGCTCTCTGACCATACACTCCAGGTACCTGCGTGTTGATCATCACAAAAAAAGATTTCTCAAAGTTTTTGCAGAAGGATCACCGTGAAACTCCAGCGAGTTGTTCGATTAGTTCATCTGCCAAGATGCCAGGGTTCATACAGATTTCAGAGACAAAAATTCCACAACTTCTAAGATCGCACCAAAGCTTGTTCAAGCGTACCGAGCAGCATCCCACTCCGCGCTTCTTTACCGTACTGCGATGCTTGCAAAACGCAACAAATAGTGTTTGTGCACGAGAGACAAAAACCGCATAAGAAAAATTCACGCTGCCATAAACGGCACAGAATCTTAGAATCCCACACAGTAGGGGTAAATAAACAAGATTGAGTGCATCATAGGCTTTCTTTGCACTCAGCAATGCCAAGTGGTTCACTGCATGATGCTGAATTCGCCCAACTGCAACAAAGGGATATGATGCAGTACATCATGCAAACAATGGCAAAAACAGCCATGCGGCAAAGTACGCTTCATCAACAGCCTCACATCTCACCTTAACTTACAAACACAAAAAACACTATGCGGCGGTCACATTCGCATGCAATAAATACGAGAGCAATGATTCCATTGTTTCTAAAATTGCAATGGCCACGTTGATCCAGCACAAGAAGTGGAGCCAAAAATCTAAACCTCTTGCAAAAATTATTGCTCAAGAAATTTAAGGACTTGTGCTCATCTTACTCATCAGCATATGCTTCTGCAACACCTCGGGGGGGGGGGGGGGGGGGGGGGGCACATGTTTACGCCATCGAGGCTGCTATTTTGTTGTACAGTCGACTCTCGTTAATGCAAACTCGAAGGGACCCCTGAATTTGTTTGAATTATCAAGAAGTTTGAATTATGAGATGTTCTCAGACATGGCTGTAGGTGAGGTGAGCCACACATTACAATTAAGCATTGACTATCGCATTTGAAATTTTTAGGCATTCTTATACCCCTATTGCACGCAATGAACAGAAACAGAAAGCAGAGGTGTAAGGTCCCCAAGTTTATCGGCCATTTACTGCTGACCAGACCACTCAAAGAAATCGTGAATTGCCAACTGCTTCATTTTTATAGGTATGTGCCTTCAGCACAAAGCTCTATAGCAGCTGAAGAACATCATGGTTTACCACGCGTGTGCTTCGTTTTAAGGATTTGTTAACTAGCAAAGCCTTTTTCCTTGAAGGCCTGAGACACTTATTTTCCATGTTTAGACTGTTAGGATTATATAAGCAAGCAAATTTTTAAATGGTAGTGGGAAAGCAGCAGATATTTTCTAGTATAAAACCATAAAAAGTATGAATTAACCGAATGACAGAGTTTAAATTAAGGGGCGTTTATATACATTGAAAGAATAGTGGGCCAACCAAAAAATTAAGTTTTATTTGAATTAACCGAAAGTACCAATTATCCAAATTTGAATTATTGCAAGTCTACTGTGAAATGTGCACCCGACACAGTACTAAGGTGCCCTTTCTCTCTAGTATGCATATCACCAGACAGAGAGGAAGTAGCAAGTCATTAACAAATTAAACGTGCGCTACACCACAAATGCTCCTCAGTGGTTAACTTGCCCAGTTAATGCTACAAGATAAAGTCCGAGTGCATGTAGCAAGTAGAATTTGGCCTGTAATTGATATTAGAGTAAAAGCTCGCTAATTAAAGCTCGAAGGAGACTTAAATCGATCAAATGAAGCGGATTTTCAGTTAGCAGGCAGGCATAAGAATGAACGGACATTGTGCAATGCAGCATGGGTAAAACCTAAAAAACTTATCGTAAATTAGGTGCTATTACACTCTTTGGCAAGAAATTTCGTAAATTAGGTTCACGGGGTTCTAACAGCGAACAGAAATAAATGATCAGTTATTGATATACCAGAAACAACACAGAAATGACATGCATCCATGCGAGCAGCGAGCCTTAAAGAGACACGAAAGAGAAACGATGGGCCAGTTTAGATCTACTATGCGGGTCGAAAAACGCGAGTTTTTTTTCAAAATTATCGATTTTTTATTTTTGCCTGTTTTATAAGATTAGTATCTCTACTGTTATGCAAAAAATACAGGTCGAGACTTGACTGGAAATGCTTTAAAATTGTATCTAAAGAGAACCAGGTGCTTGTTAAAAGGTCCAAAGTGTGCAGTCTTCGAGCACCTTGCCGCCGATAATGCGCCGTTGGTTGCCATTGTTCATCGCATCAGCCGAAGAAACGAGCCCCACTCTTCAAATAACAGTTTCCCTCGCTGATGGGGCACAAGAAATAAAAAGAAGTACGCTTCTGCGCGTGTTTCGAGCCCCTCCTTTTTTGGGCAATTATAGTGCTCAGATCCGAATAAAAATTAGCCGAAATTTTTCTCCAAAGTATGGCAAATGCAGTTATTCAACTTAAACTTCAATATTTTATTGCAGAATAAAAAAATATATGTAAACCTTTACTAGGGTCGGTGGAATATGGACTTTTTACGTCTATTTTTCATGCCTATTACATATTTTGTATGTGCTTCCTCATTAGTTATTTGCATTCTACACTTTATTTCAAACATTATGAACTATGAATGGTAAGAAAGTACGGAAGTTTAGAGATGAAAAGAGGGGGGGGGGGGGTTGCAAAAGGGTTAAGGTTTTCACTTTGTCATTTCGCAGAGGTAAAGGTAAGCAACTTGCAAGAAAACCAATATATTTGAAATCAGCATTTAACACCCTAGAGCACTGAAACTCAGTTTCAGTGCTCTAGGGTGTAAAAAAAAAAAAAGGTCTTCGAGTAGCATCTCCCCTTAAGAACTCTCATGTTTAGTAAAATAATGACTTGAGAGTTCTTGGACTACAATTTGTCAATATAAACTGGCTTTAGATTGAGCATCAGAAAAAAATCAAGCCCAAACTTTCATTAAAATCTCCACACACTTTTTCATAGAAAATGAGGCCCAACCCTCAACTGCCATGAAGAAGAGAATCACTGTAAAAGAAATGGACTAATTCTCCAAACATAGACAGAACTATCAGTTTACCGAGGGCTTGCAAAGCGTGGCTCGCTTTGCGAGTAGATTCACAAGAGTTTTTCAATGTATTGTGCCTGCCTACTTTATTTGGTCCGGGCTCAAAGCTTTCCCGTGGAGCAGGGACGACTGGCGTGGCCTTGGTTTCTTCGTTCGCGGCATCTCTGGAGGTAGAACGGCAACCACCTACAAATGCAAAAGCCTGTGTCATTAGTAAGACCTATTGCGGGTGTAGCCACGTAAAGGAGCTAGCTTAACTGAATTATTAACTCTAAAATGGCTAAGCTATCCTAATAGTACGCTGCACAGAGTTTCATATTTCAAGATTTTGGTTGAGATAGAAACGTTCATACGTAAGATACGATATGTCAGTGTTTTTACTTGGGGTAATTAGATGAACCAAATGTAACACAAAATGAGCTTTAGGAGTGTCAACGAAATTCAATTTTGTTTCTTCAGAGGTAAAATGAACGTTGTGCCTTGGAGCAATAATTATTCATTATGCAAAGCAGCACTCATTCTGGCATCCCAATGAAGGTGAGGCAGGTCATTGAATCCGCTCAGTCATGAAAGTTGGCCGACAGAGCCAGCGAAGAGTAGACTGTATGCTTTCATTAGATTCACTTCATTACAGCAGAGCTACTGTGGTCGAGGTTTGCCATGTGTCGTAGATAGAATATTGTTGCAGTGCAATGCCGTGGACTGGCGTGCCCTCAATCGGGTCTCCGCGATTCAAAGGCAAGTGTTGTAATCACTAGGCTATCCAGGCATGCCAGCAGAGCATAGTCACGGCCGCTGGATGAAAGAGCGCACTGGTTCAGCCCACCACGTGCTCCAAAACCGGCGTGACAGGTCTAGTTCTCTAACCACCGCTGCGACGCCACCAGGGGGGAACAGTTTTCGCGAGTGCCCGTAGAATGGCATGCGCGGCGCGCTTGCGGTAGTTACGATTGAGCACGTGTACTTTTGTGTGACCCGCTAAATCTTCTCTTAATATCCGTCTCGCGTGTGCGCACCAGGTACTTACCGACCTTGCTTTTAGATACCTGCAGCCCTTGCAAATTTTTGGTATTGTCTTACCCGAGATGGAACCTTGCACACCGATCAGTTTTCGCGAAAGTAAGAATTGCGAGCACATTTTACGCAGAGAATGGTAAAAAGAAAACTGAGAAGGAATGAAAGCCTAGTCAAGCCAGGTGCCCATCCTGGCACTGCTGTGTGACCCAGCCTTATGTGACTTGGTGCACACTGCACTTATTCCATTCACAGGCATCGTTTGCTCCAGTATCACTGCTAGTAGCCGACTTCTAGTGAAGCCCAGCCAACGCTTCCTCACAAATGTGCCTGCCACGTGATAAAAAAAACCTGCTGCCTTAACCTCTCTCTCCATTGCTTCTAATGAGATGGGCAGCTGGCAATCCTTGTGGTGGCCGCTTGCAACACACATATGCGCATGCACACACTACCACCCCAAACGCCACACCACCCAAGTTCCTTTAAACAGTATGGGGTGGAACGTGGCACCACCCCTCAAGAACAGACTACTCAAGATAGCATGGCTACAAGGGGATCGCGAGCGACGCTGCAGGCATTTTTCTAGAGGAGGTGTTGGTAAGGTACGTAATTAGGTTGATATTCAGTAATAATTGCTAGGATAATACACATCCATTTGGTTTCTTGAATGAAACCTGAATATAGGAAATCCTGGAATGAAACCTACTAGATATAGGATAATGCGATTTCTGAGAGTTGCATTCATAGGAGAGCATTCAAACAGTGGGAATACGCTAGACATACTATTTCTCATGTTCCAATAAAACCTGAAGTTTCTCGTTGCCCTTCTGCTGCTATCAAAACAACCTCTCGCATGCCTCTGCAACCCAATGGATGTCTCAAGTACTTTCTTCGTGGGTGTTCTACTTTTCTCAGATGTGAAACTGCTGAGCACCAAACGATTTAAGCAGAACCTAGCTAGTTGTTGACAAGCCTCTTCAGCAGCCTTTGATCATTTAAAGGAGAGGATTGCGAGACATTTTTGTCTGGTTTAATTGCCACATTGTCAATAGTTATGAATAAAAACAACGCCGAATGTACAAGTCGAGTTTAGAACTCTGTGCATGAAGTTGTGCTCACAAGGGTGGGCAACATTTGAACCGTAAAGGTCACGGCTTGCATGAAGTCACTCCCTTGACCTAACCTCACAGTACGCCTCTCTTTCAAGATTAAGCATGGTGCTTGTGAGCATTCTAGTATGTTTGAAACTTAATTTACCACAGTCACGACCGCGCTCGTATTACCTTGTTAAAGCAGGTAGTCCTTGACATTGAGGAGAAAATTTTGAGATCTAACATTACAACGTGGGGACACTTGAAATCACGGCATCTTATCTGCCACCGATGCTCAATTCCAGTCCGCAAGGGCAGCCTGGACATTGAGCCTCCCACGTTGGGGCACGGTAGACTCCATAAAGATTTGACAAGCTTCACATGACAGTCTGCCTCAGTTGTGTACCTTCCAAGTTGCAGATACACAAAGACAGCACGAAGGACTGCACAGGTTGCGTGAGTAGGGAGAGCAAGAAAGTTACAACGAGGCGTTTGGTGCCATCTGTCGCATAAGCCATTGAAACACGAAAGGAACCACCGTGTTTTTGCGAGAGCATTTACATAGACAAGTCACCACCACTACCATTTTGTATACAAAAGCACTACTGGCTGTTGAATGCATTGTTTCATGCATCGGCGTGGTGTGCAGTCTTGTCAAAATGAAACAAGGGACTTGACAAGGGTGACTAGATGTTTTAAGAAGAATGGCGATTTGGGCTAGTTGGTTTGAATTCAGATTCAGATAGATGTTTTAGCGTAACAGTGTACGCCCGACGAAAAGCTCACCTGTGTCGAAATTAAAAACAGGTCAACACATTTTTTTTTCGCTCACTTATTTCCACAAAGCTTCATTAAATTGGGTTGAGTGCCATAATAGCTTCATTATTTGAGCCAGTTACAACATTGCAACCTATGGGCATACCTGCCGCAGAATGGGAATTTTTTCATTAGATCAGGAAATTAGACAGTTCTAACTGAACGTACAAGATCTATTCTATTAAGTGCACAATTCGATAAGGATCATTAAGACAACGTTTACACAAAATATTCAAGAAACTTCAGTACAGTGGGTACATCTTTAAGCAATAAATAACTCAATTACAATAATTGTTGCAGTTTAACATCTCAAAGCCAGCATATGATTATGAGACACTGCAATAGACTGCTCCAGAAATTTAGCAACCTAGGGTTCTTTAGCGTGCACCTCAATTCAAGCACAAGGGGTTCAAACATTTTCGCCTCCATAGAAAGTGAAGCCGGGATTCAAACCAGCAGTCTGTTGGTCAGCATTCAAGCTTCATTACTAGACAACCATAGCAGTTAACAATGAATAACTTCATAACAACACAGTTAAAAATGGTCACCTGTCGAAAACATTGTGCAGTAATATTCAGATACATCTTTAACATTTCCTTGGCCTAGGTTGCTATATTAATTTAGATTTTTTTCATCTTATTCATACTGTCAGCACATAAGCCAAGACGGGAGTTGGGGTTACATAACCCTCATGTACAAACGTAGTACATGCTAATACAACTTTAACACTGAACACTCAAGAATTGCACAACATATCAGAATAAGAAAACGCGAAATCATTAGAAAACATCCCGTACAGCTTACCGATATATGTAACAGGTTCGAATACATCCCGTATACGTCGCCAAAGGAAAGGGGAAAAAAATATTTAAAGTGATATAGTACATTGAACGTGTTCAGACAACAGCTAACCAACAAGACAATCGAAGGGTGAGCAAATGCTAAAGCAATACAAATTGTTCACAAATATTCTAACAAAGCCTTTTCAAAACTTTAGATCGGAACATTCGACTATGTTTGGAGGTAACCGATTCCAATCATCAATGCTCCGAATAAAAAAGAATACCTGAATAAATCTGTTCTGCGGTTGATTGGTGTAATATCTTTTGAATGTTTAGTCCCGGATGAGAGTTTTCACTAGTATGATGTGTTAACCTTGGTTAGCCCCGATATCTGTGTTTAGTATGTGAAAAAAGAATTTCAGTTGATGAAGTTGCATTTTTCTTTTCACCGTCATTATTCCGGTTTTTTCTCCAAGCTCGGTGATAGACCGAGTTCTTGAATATGGATTTAAAATAAATTGCTAGCGACTGTGGGAGTAAGAGTACAGCCCCTTCAAGGAATTATTTTTTGTTCTGAGAAAAGCAACACTTTATTGTATTTTCCTTCCATTACCGCAAATGTACCGTGCAAAAACAGTAACAGCTGCCTTTGCCCTTAAATTAATATGGATGAGCATGGTCAGTCTCTAAAATAGTCAGCACATTTGTCAGTATCGGGTTGTCATTCTGATTTGTTAAGAAATATGCTATGAAGCCCTGTTCCACGTACTTTCGTTCATAAGTGCACTCATAGGCTCGTAAGTGCACTCATACACTCGTAAAAGCACTCATACATCGGAACCTGAACTTGGCAACGTTTTACCGCTAGAACCTTATATAGCGTGGCAAGTCTAGCTGTACTATTTGAGGAGCTAGAGGACATTAAATGGGATTTAATAGGGCTCAATGAAGTTAGGAAAACAAATGAGGCCTATACAGTGCTACAGAATGGGCACGTGCTTTGCCATCGGGGCTTGGCTGACAGAAGAGAACTGGGAGTGGGGTTCCTAATTCACAGAAACATAGCTGGCAACACAGGGGAATACTATAGCATTAATGAAAGGATGGTAGGTATCGTTATTAAACTCAATAAGAGATACAAGATGAAGGTGGTACAGGCTTTTGTACCTACATCCAGCCATGATGACCCTTCAGTTGAAAGCTATGAAGACGTGGAATCGGCAATGAGTAAGGTAAAAACACAGTATACTATACAAATGGGAGAGCTCAATGCAAAGGTAGGAAAGAAGTAGGCTGGAGACCAGGTAGTGGGAGGTTATGGCATCGGTACTAGAAAACGCCCGAGGAGAGCTACTAGTAGAATTCGCAGAATGCAATAATTTACGGATTTTGAATACCTTCTACCGAAAACGAGGAAACAGTATGTGGACATGGAGGAGCCCTCACAGACTTTATAATGAGTGCACGCCCAGGCATCGCGCAG